TTGGAGCAGGTGCTGAATAAATATAGCATTTTTGGATTCTTTTTTGTAATGGTATTAGATGCTTGTGTAGGACCAGGTTCATAAGAAATACAATTGCTGTGGTAGTCAATCAGATTACTGGATATTTGAGATAAAAATTGGCAAGTTTTTGTGTGGTCGGTAGAGTGAATTCTACTGTTGGATTTCGAAAAAGTATAGTCGGTGAAATGCACTTAAAAGCATTATGAATATGTGTAGACTGGTTCCTATCGTACAGGTAGATGTTTGATCTTGTAGTTTCTTTGTAGGTGGAGGGTTGAATCGTCACGTTTTCTTTTCAGGTTTATAGCTTTTGTTCAAAATACTATAGATTATTTAGAGATTAATATCAATGACTCCGAGGTATAGGCTTTATTTACATACAGAAACATAATGTGATCTGGAAATAATAAAAAAATCCATGAGGTGTAGAGCTTTAGGCAGTGTTTTCATTGTCAGAGTAATATTTAGTTGTTGAAGTGAGCATGAGAATGAGATTTATTGCTGATTTAAGAAGAGAAATAAACAGTTTTGGTATATAAACACCAAATGGAAAGAGAGAGAATTATGATATCTCTTTTAAAAAAGAATGTTTATAATAAATTTATGGCTGCGGGTAATATATTGTCCTATTTATTTTTTATCTCCTTGAGTTCAATTTTACTACTTTATTTAGTGGACCTTGGAATATTATTTTTTGATATAAAAAGCTGAAAATATAATGACTAATACTATTTAACAACAACTCAATCTTCTTTACATCTATTCTTGCTGCTTCAACTTGTGTTCTGATTTTTATCTTGCATCTTAAGTAATTACTATTTAATTATAACTGCTATGTGCTAGATATAACTATATTTATATAAAATATGTCACTTTAACATATCTTCCTATTTCTTTATTTTTTCACCTTTTATTATCAGAAAACCCTACAATGTTACACGAAAAACTTGAAGAATATAACAGTGCCTTTGAAAAAATCATGGAAGAGCTTGAAGAGCCTGAAATGCCAGAAAATCCAAAAAGTTCTGCCCCGTCAACAACAGACGAAACCCCCAAAAAAAGTAGAGGGCAATATCAAAAGCCTACGGATAAAGATATAAAAAAGCTTCTTTATCTCTACTTCATAAGGGGATTAACTATCGAAAAAGCCAGCAAGATAGTAAATATGAAACAAACAACTGCTGGTGGCTATATTTTGAAGTGGAGAAAGTCTCCAGTTGTTTTTTTCATTAAAAACAACAAGGAGGCTACAAGTGACAAAAAAATGAATCTTTTATTCGAAACTTACTCTGCAATAAAGAAAGCATACAAATAATATCATTGCATTTTCAATTTTAACATAATTATTATAATGAGATACTTGCTTTATTATCTTATAACTGCAGTAAGGTATTTAACTTTAACAAAGTAATCTGGAGAAAAGTTTGCATATTCTGTTAGTTCTCTCTATAGATATTTTCTATGACGTATCTTTGTAGAAAGATCTACATATATTGAAGTGCTATTACATTAGGCGTTTGGCACTTATATAAAAAAATATGGCAGTTATATAAAAAAAATACGACGTTTACAAAAAAAAATACTACGGTTATATAAAAAAAATACAACGTTTACAAAAAAAAATACTACGGTTATATAAAAAAAATTCGACGTTTACAAAAAAAAATACGACGTTTACAAAAAAAAAGTACGACGTTTACAAAAAAAAGTACGACGTTTACAAAAAAAAAATACTACGGTTATATAAAAAAAATTGTAAGGCGCAAGGATAAAAAAATTGAGTGCCATGTACCCTTCCGCCAATAGTAAAAGGGGGGGAGCAAATTCAGATGGCAATGGGAGCAAATTCAGTTGGCAATGGACGCAAATTCAATTTCTATGGAAGCCAATCAGATGTCAATGGGTTCTAATTAGATGGAAACGGATGCTAATTAGATGGAAATGGGCGCCAATTGAATGGATAAAACCAGTACTAGTTGCTTTATTCAGACTTTATACAGTCGAGACCAAAGATCAAGAGCCCGATTTCCGCATAGATTTACAGGGATACAAGTGGCTTTCTTTACCCATTAACATATTGATAGCTGTTTGAAGCAGTCTTTTTACAGTTCAATTCAACAGTCAAGGTTCAAATCCCCGTCAAAAATCACTGATATACTGCCACTTTTTAGTATTTACTTACTGCCAATTGTGTTTCTTTAGTCTACTCACAGAAAAGGCCAACAATCAAGATGCCACTCTCCTTCTTGGATGTTAGGTATACCAGTATCTTTGGGTATTTACCTATTACCAGCTTTAGTTCGGTAGTCTTTTCACAATTGAGGCCAACACCCAAGATTCCATAGTTCATGCAGGGTTACTGGTATATATACCTCTTTGAGCATTTGCTTGGTGTCTGCTATATTTGTCTAGTCTTTTCATAGTCAAGGCTACTAATTGAGATTCCGCTGCTCATCTAGGGTAAAAGGTATATATGCTTTTTTTTTAATAGTTAATCATTGCTTATTGAAATTGTCTAATAATTTTACAGTCAACGCTGATGATCAAGTTTCTGCTATTCGTCGAGGTAACAGGCGTACACCCTCCTTTGAATATCTTTCTGTCATCCATCATATTTATCTAGTCATATCATAGTCCACACCAAGGTTCAAGAGTTTAGTCTCCACCCAGGTTCACAGACATTCAAGTATAATTGCCCTTTTAGGACTGCCGGCTGCTATTGCCTATTGCTTTTAATATATAGGTCAAGGGATAAATTTCCTACTCTCAACCATGAGCCACAGGTATCACCGTTTATTTTGAACATTTATTTATTATCGATTACATTTGATTAGTATTTTAAATCCGAGTCCAACGATCAAGCTTCAGCTTTCCGGGAAGGGTTGAAGATATCCATGTATCTTTGATTTTTTTTAATATCGACTGAATTTCTCTGGCGTTTGCACATTCAAGTCCATTGATCAAGTCTTTGGTCATTATCAAGTTTCCACTCAACATTATTGGGTAAAGGTATATAAGATTCTTAGATTACTTTTTTACAGCCAATGACATTTATCAAGCGTTTTTAGAGTCCTGGTCAACGATCAAGATCCTGCTATTAATTCAACGTCTTAGATATATAAGTGTATTTAAATATTACTTTACTACTGATTCTATCTATTTAATCTTTTTTTTTTCTTTTTCTTTTTTACATTCTATGCTAGCCCTCACGGCTCTAGTCTCCATCAAGGCTTATAGACATACAAGGTTTTTTTATTGGAATATGTTCTTACTATCAGTTTTAATTTTTCTAGTAATTTCACAGTTCATACCAACGATTAGGCGTCCGATTTCCATCCAGGGCTACAGGCATACATCTTTATTACACCATTTACTTACAGCCTGTTTTATATGTCCAGAATCTTCACAGCTCATGTCAACAGTCACGGTTTTGACCTACATCTCCAACCATAGGTATATATATATTTCCGAGAATTTACTTACTATTAGGTGTATTTTTCTAGTGTTTTCATAGTAAAGACCAACGATTAATATTCCGACATTTTCCTACAGTCATAGACATACAAGTCTCTTTGAGCCTTTAGTTACTTTAAGCTGTATATTCCCATACTTTTTACGGCAAAGACCAGCGATCAAGGTTTCACTCTCCATAAAAATCCTCAGGTATACAAAGCTCTTTAAATATTTTCTTACTATCAATTAGATTATTCTAGTGTTTACACAGTCAAAGCCAAACTATAAAGCCTCTGTTGCCCGTCCAAGTTCTCCAGTATATATATATATATATTGAGCATCTACTTACTGGTTGTTGTTTTTAGTTATCTTGACATAGTCAAAACCAACGATTAAGGTTTCACCATACATCCAGGGTATGAGATACACATGTCTCGTTTAGTATTTAGCTATCAACTATTATTTTGTCTAGCTTTTTTTTTTATATATTTTAAGCCAACGATCAAGTTTTGAGTATTTATTCATGATCACAGGTATATATTTCTTTTTGAACATATACTTATTGTTGGCTTTCTTTTTTTAGTCTATTTACCACCAGGGCGAACGATCAATATTCCGCTGCCCATTTTGGGCTATATGTATACATGACTCTTTAAGCAGTTAATACTTGTCGCTTTTATTTGTCTAGTCTTTTAATCGCCAAGTCCAAAATTTATGGCTCTGCTCTACATCATGGGCCGTAGGTATACAAGTCTCTTTGTGAATCTATTCACTGATGGTTATAAATACTTATAATTTCACAGTTGGTGTCAAAGATCATTGTCTAACTCTTATTCATATGTTACAGGTATACATTGTTTAGTTGCCCATTTTTCTTTGAATGATGCTTGTATTTGCTTATTTTTTTTTCTCTTCGTAGTTTAGGTCAATTATCATGGTTCTATTCTTTATTAAGGATTAAAGACATAGGAGGGGTTTTTAAAATTTTCTCACTGAAAATTGTATTTACTAATTTTTTTTACAGCCGATACCAGGTATCAGTATTGTTCTGGGTAGTACTGAAAATGGGCAATGAGATACTGCACGAATCCTGGACCCCCATGGATGCTCGTCAAAAAGAGTTTGTATTCCAACATAATGCACTTTCCTCATACACCTTGTGGCAATCCTGGCACAAAACATATTTATGAACGCTTTTGTTCATGGATGAAAAATCCGTTTTGTGTTTGAGGCCAGAAATGTTCGATGGCAATTGTAAATTCTTCTCGTAAGTTGTCTAGAGCTTATTGATGAACTTTATCAGGATGACAGCGCCTTTGTTGGCCACATAGCGGGGAGCTAACATTACCACAAAAGTAGTAATGATCCTGTGCACTGGGTTCTCAGGCATATCGGGGGGGGGGGGGGGGGGGGGGCAAAAGGATCTATTGTAAAAAACCAAAAAAAAAATCATCTCCCTTTTTTTCAAATTTTTCTTTCTTCCATAGCACAACACCAACCTTCATTAACAAATTCCTCGACCTCCACCTTAACAACATCTTCATTATTGTTTTCTTTGTTTTCATCGCCATTGTCTTTGCTGTTGTGAATCTCCTCATTCGTAACTGGAACATTCTCATCGTCAGACACTGGGGTTCCTTCCCAAGCAAGTAAGTTGGTCTGACCACACTCTTCTTCCGTGGTTCTGGATTGACATGTTTAAATGGCTGTATTTAGAATAGGTTACATAATTACGCTCTATTATTTTTATTTAAATAAATATTTCCTACGTTCAACATCAACCTCCATCGAATTTCTATGGGCAGAAGATTCTGTTAAAACATGTTATTTTTTGAACTACAAAAAAAGTAGAATATAATAGAATAATACTACAAACTGCGTACCACTTTCACATCTTATAGCATCTAATCTTGCTTTGTTATGGCGCTGAGCAGTTCTTCCGGCTACAAAACTATAGACTAGTTCGTTCTGACTACACCCAGCGCAATAGCACTTTTTATTGTAAGGTTGAGGGGTTGAGAACATTGTGTTTTTTGTTAAAAAAATTGAGAAAAAGGAAACAGGTGCTACATGTACTTTATTCACAAAGTCTTTATAATAATAAATAGAATAACTTTTGTTGCTTGTTATATCCGAGCCAATAGAATACAGTAAAGCTGTGTTTTCAACTTGTGAACATGGAAAACTATCCCACATTTACAATTGTTATCAAACAACTGTGCGCATTGTAATTTCCACCCTTTTTTTCAGTGTGATCCGTTCTCAAATACAAGCAGTTATGACAGCTACGCCATTGAATATTGATGAGGGTACCTTCTCAATATCTAACCATCCAATTGCTAGCATGGTGCAGAGCTACATCCATATGCAGCCTGAAGTAGAGTATGTTTTGTCTTCAGTCGTGGAAGAGAAAGCTCGTAGACACCTTTCGTATAAAATTCACAGCGCAAAATCTATGTCAGAAAAGTTAGCTGGGCGTAATCGGTTTTCTCGTTGTCGAACAAGAAAGATAAGAGTAAGTATAATCCACGGTTTTTGTTTAAATAATTTTAACATTTTTTTTTTCTTTTTACAAAGGAGTGTCATTTTTTATTTAGAATTCCTAATTGTTGATATTATAACACAGATCAAAGAATACTTTAGCAAGTTAAAAGGACGGAGAAATGATCAAAAAGAATAAAGGTCATTAGCTTTTCCAAGTGTCCAGCTATTCCAAGAAACGTCGAACTTTTGAAGGAGAGAAAGGTGCGTGTTGTTGCATGGAATAGCACACGGCATAATAAAAAAAGTACAGAGTATATAGTATTTTATTGATTTTTATTCATTGTTTTGAAAGATGTGGGTTGAATTGATAAAAGATGATGCGGTAGTAATGTCAAGATGGGAATTAATAAATAAATAATTATTTTATTTTATTTTACTTTATTTTACAGCCGATTAATGAAATATATATATATACAAAACAATTATTTAATTATACAACCTTGATTGTTTTATCCACGGTTTTTTTTCGTTGGAAATTGTAATATCGCTCTCTGTAAGTTTATTTTGATAAAAGCTAAGAAAATGGTGGGCATTGGGTATTAAATATACAGGTATTTTGTCTTTCATACTTTTGATAAAAACAATAAAAATAAATAACGGTTTTTACTATTCGTTGATAATAGAATTCAATATAATTTTAAATATTTGATAAAGAAGTAATGCTAAAACAAAAGAAAAATAGAGAGATAAATAAAGGCAAACCCTTTCGCAGTCAAAAAAACTCTTACTATAATTATTTATATTAGTAATATAAATAATTCTATTTTTTTTCGTGACTACTTTTCTAGGCAGTGGGATGACTAGGCGCTTTTGGATCCCACCCTGGATGTTGTGCGTAGTCAACGCGAAATACGAATGCAGACGATGCACCGGGATGATGCACGCAATACTCTTCTTAATAAACTCACTCACCCACAAATTCAGACCTTACCCAACTAACGGCTTAATTCTGACAGAATGGCATGTCGCAAATCTTTTTAAAAAACCAAACGTTGACACTTTTGATTCTACCAATCTTGATGACAAGTAAATATGTACTCAATCTGACCAGGGAATTTAGAGATGTCGTCAACTATCCTACCAAAAAAAACATAACCCGCACAATTGAGCTGCGATATTTCTTCTGTTCACTAAAAAACTCCTGGCCAAGCAACGAAATATTCTTCATCTTCTGAATGCAAATGTTTACCAGCACATTCTCACCAAGTGAAATACTCCCCACGCCGCAGAAAGAAAAGTATTCTGGTAAGCCTTGACATAGAATTTGAATAGCCATTAAGAGTAATCATACTTCATCGTATTCAAATTTTGTAACTTCAATGGCATGGTAGTTGGTGGCGACGTCTTAATTCCGATTACATTGTACCATAGGCTGTTGACGACTTGCTGGAACATCGGGAGGTCAAATGGCAATGCAGGAGGATAATCATTATCAATGCACTGAAGACACGGTAGATGAGATTCAGATAGCACTTGCGCGACGCCTTAGGAAAATATTATTATACGCAGCAGAAGATTAATGGAATACACAGGAAGAAAAGTGTCAGTGAACGCATTCTCCGGAAAAACGCTCATTACTGTCACCTCTAGACCATTACGGTAGTTTGTCTTAATGTTTTTTTTAACTTATACTTGTGTATCTTAAGGTTATACATCCTAAATTTAAAGACCAGACCAAAGTCAAGCATCAACTCACACAAATGCATATTTGGTGTGCTACTCCTTTTTTTCGTAAATACTCTGACATTATTCCCCAAATTTACCAAGGGGCTGGCCTGCGTAATCTATATGTAAGTACTTGTTCAATGGACCTTTCAACTTTCGGCATGTCTTGGCAAGATTGGTCTAGTTATTGTAATCACTTTTGGGCAAAAACTCCTTCAACACCACCAGAAAATGCACCAGACACAACGATCGCCACTCGCCTGCCTTCATATATAGGAACTAAGGCGTGACTTTTTCGAATAAGACGGTATATTCAGGAGGAAGAGGAATATCATCAGCAAAGCGTTGTATACGAGCAATAACAGCAGCGGAAAAATACAAAGGCATTTCAAACACTGGCCATACGGTTCGCTATCACAAGAAATATATTGTGCGTGAGATCAACAATCATGTAAGCGATGCAACTCTGAAAACTGCATGCCGTTCTGCTTCTCCAAATTTTCTCTTTCTACATCTGATTCTGTGCAAAACCACATATTGTCATATATGGAAATCATCTCTTCTGTCCGTGATTCCCAGTTTTCATTGACACGCCAAACGTAATTGATCTTACTTGATGCAGTAATCACGGGGATATATCATTTGAATTTATGACAGCCATATGTGTTTACATGCCATGTTCTGTGAATCCGGCAGTATTTCTAGCAGCAGATATCTCGGAAGCGACATACATGATAGCAGTATAGACGGTAGTACCATTAGGGAACTTGGTAGTCCTCACAGCTATACTACCATAACAGTCTACCATCCCATCAACAAATGTTTCCAGAAATACATCCATCTAGTCGTCCTCTACTTCCTTTGGACCAGGCATGACATCAACGAGGATAATATTTTCTGGTCTCATTTGGTCTTCCTTGGGGAAATTGCTGATAAGTAAGTACAAAGCACCGCCTGTATAAATCCGTCCTTCAAACAGCTTAAACCAATATACATTCAATGTCAACATGAGAGAATTGGCATGATTTACAAAGGTCCCGTCGGCTTCACCGAGCATATCAGTCTAAATTGCATCATCGTATACGTCCGTCATCGTACTTTCTATTGTTTTGCTTGACCCCTAGTGCACGATTTACTCATCTGACTTGACTTTGTGGAAATGTTGTGACGAGATATTTTCTCAGTAAGCTGTAAGGAAATACCATGAGAGGGACTGGCTTCTCAATTGCTGGTCTGGCATACAGGGAATTACTGGCATAGATAGATGGAGCGGAATGTGCTTCTCGGAGGAACAGTTGGATTGATGATACCCTGGTAAGTATATGACATTACGTTTGATACAGATGGTGTACTTGAAGACGGTTTTGTCATAAGATCGAATCCAGACATTATTTTCGATACATCAACGGTGACATATGGATCAGTATCCTTCTCATAGGTAACAAGAAAGTATTGGAATAATTTCAGTGTTGTAGATCCTCCTTGCTTGAGCCAAGCAAAACGCTTGAAATATAACACCAAATAGAGCTATTAGTTGAGTGACTTGATGAATGTCATCCATTTTCAAACATAGGATTACAAAAAGGCAAGTGTTATGATAAGTATCATCATTATCTGTAATATGATTTATGTATATTTCTTTGTTCAATAGGTGCATACCTGAATCCATCGTATCTTTAAATACTATGACACCAACAATGTCAGCTTTATTCTCATCGTTGGACTCCTCACTTTAATCCGGATAGTTATTGTCAAATGGCGATAGTAGTGTCTCAGTATCATACTCTTCTTTGAATTGAAAAAGTTTGTCTTCTCGCAAAAAAAAGTATACTATGTGTGGCGGTTTCAGGAAATCTAATAGAAGAAGTAACTTTATCTACAATAATAAAAATAAAAAAAATATGTTTTATACGATTTTTTTTGGTCTTGGTTATTGAGATATATCAGTCTATTATCAATGTAATAAACTCTACTAAGCTTACGGTCTCTATTAGTAAGAATTACAAATTGAATTCTATATATCTCTTTTAATATAATGACAATAAGGGTTTAACTAGCTATCGATGCGTGACGATTCGTGGCAGCAATGCTTTAACTACTATTCAAATAATGTTCAATATAAAAGTACAACACTTGTTGGGTGCCTTTAATATTTTTGAGTAAAATACTTTTGGGTGTAATAATCTTGATTAAAATACCCGTGAGTAAGATTGATTATAATATTATAAATATCATTATTAATTGTACATCTAGCACACTAATTGTTTGTAAGTTTCGGTCAAGTCTCGACAGTCAATCATCCAATCTTTTTGTTAGAGCAACCCTTTCAATTTCGATATTTAACAAAAAAGGCGTTGGTATATATATATGTATATATATAATATTAATTACCACAGTACGGAAATACACGATAATCATTATTAAAACACGAGTTTAAAGTAGGCAGGGAAAGTACGCCAAAGTACATCACTAAGTACGCATTTTACTCTCTCGTAATGATATAGCTCTCGATACCAGTGTGTTTCGTTTTATATTACCAACCCAAGATATTATAATGGACGCCACAAGTACTTTGTAACTCTAATGTCTTGAATTCAAAAAATCAAATAGTAACCACGATAGTACTTGACATAACCGTGTATATATTTGACAGTATAGAAATACTTATTTGTTTTTTTCTATCATTATGTACTCTTTATATTAACTTATTTTATTAACAGCTTCTATTGTATTTGATTTTAAAGAAGAAAAAAACAGAGTACTTGTATGTGATACCCAGAGTCAGATATACTCGACGTCTTCAAGAAATTATACTTATACAGTCGAATATTGTTTTCATGCTAATTGAGCCTCCACAGTTCTAATTAAAGCAAGAAATATTATCTTTGTTTTCAAATAGGCTCTTGTAGAGAACGGTAAATGTAATTGCGAAAATATTTACAAGGCAATTAGCAAGAAAAGTTTCATATTTATTTTACAGTTTTCGATGCACCCGAGTTGGTCGATATACTTTACATTCAAGTGGCTGCTGAAGAAAAAGAAAAAGAAAAAGAAAGGCGTATTTTTATACTAATGTGTCTTACATGACATGGAAATAAGCACTGGTGCAAATCATTAGGAGTACTGCTACTAAACTTTTCGACTAGTTGGCGGATGGGTATACATAAGAAATTATCGGTTTTGGTCGTAAATAAATGAATATGGTACATCAAAGGATACCATTCTGCGCACACACCCGCACTCACGCAAAACAATCGGATCCAGTACATAATCAAATAACACTGGACTTATAGGTTTTTATATTTCTTACCATTTTATCATTTTTCATGAAAATAATTAAACTGCCAACACAAAGCAACTGCCGAAAAAAACAAAATAATATTAGTACAGTTGCACCTAACCAAAACTCATATACCACTACAGTCCTCATCGTCCACCATAATAGCAACGATTTTGCTAATATTGAAAGGCAATTAGTTATTCCTTTCTTTTATATTGTTTATCCACGCACACAAACGCCAACTGTACCAAGAATTAATTTGAGTTGGGTGCAATTTTA